GTAGTAGTAGTAGTAGTACAGAAGTGGGAGGTACCACCAAGGTCCCTATCGGCCACTAGATCTAGCTGATCCTCTGTGCCTTCCCACTCGTTTTCTTTGCTAGGTCTCGAGATACAGTCTTGAACCTTGTACCAGGTTTATCAGATCTGTAACCCTAGCATTTTCTAAATCCTGGGGGGTTAAAAACATACTTCCCCAGGTTTTGTATCTTTTGCATATAAATGCCGGGCATTGGCATATTATATGTACGTTGTCTTCTTTCTCGTCTCCGCAAAGGCGACATGCCTTTTGCTCCGCAAGCCCGAGACTAAAAAGGTGTGCTTTGAGTAAGGCAGAGTGACCAGTGAGCAGTCCCAACGCCATTCTCAGTTTCTGTTTACTTAGCGCCAGTAGTTCTTTAGCCCTACCTGGTCTGCTGTCTTTCATCAAAGTCCTGGCCTGACGGCAGGTTTTTAACTTCTCCCATCTGGCCAGGTGTTCCCTTTTCAGGCGACCTTTGATGATTTTTTTGCCTACTGCAAAGGGTATTCCCGTCACCTGGCCAATTGGTGCTTCATTAGCTCCCTTCTTGGCCAGCATGTCTGCGGTTTCATTCCCGGGTATTCCCTGATGCCCAGGCACCCATACTAACGTGACTTTGTTAGGTCCGCATAGTCTTTCTAATGCTAGCATGCAATCCCAAACCAATGCTGATTCAGTAGTTGTTTTTGTCAACGCTTGTATGGCTGCTCTACTATCCGAGCAGATGTTTATCTTCTTTTCCTTCGTATCTTTGTTTAGCAGGTATTCCGTGCATTTTAGGATAGCCAGTATCTCAGCTGTAAAAACAGTTGAGTGGCTTCCCATAGGAATACTTTCCCTGTGGTTCTCCTTCGGCCCGTAGAATCCTGCCCCGAAGCGATCATTAATGCCTGACCCATCAGTGAACCATAGGTCCACATTGGGATCCTCGACTCCCTTCAGGTCAGTCCAGTCTTTTCTAGTTGGTATTCGTGTTTTGAAGTGCTTTACCAACTGGTATTTTTTAAGAATTCTATCTTGTTTTGAAGTGAAAGGGTGTTTCTGGAACAGGTCGAGCCTTGTGTGTCCCAGTCCTGTATTTCTCCATTCTCCCTGACACTTTAGTCTGTATGCTGTGTTCCTTGCTGAGTTTACCACGGCCAGGTCCAGTGGAGGCACACAGAGTGCAATTTCTAGCGCCTCTGTGGGGGTAGTCCTCATAGCCCCTACTGCAGCCCTTAGGTAGCTACCTTGTAGGCTTTTCAGAAGGTTCTTTGCTTCCACTTTTTCTGTTCTGGGCCACCAGATCACAGATGCATAAAGTAGTCTTGGTAACAGTACCGCTTTGTACAACCATAGTGCTATGGGAGCTTTGATGCTCCAAGACTTTCCCATGGCTCTTCTACACATCCACATGCATGTGTAGAATTTTTTCCTGCTCTCTGCAAGGTGTACTTTCCAGTTAAGTTTGGTATCTATATGTAGTCCCAAGTATTTAACTGAGGTTGTAAAGGGGATTACCTTCCCCCAGAGCTTAAGAGGCTCAATGGGTTCTGGTTTGTATTTCCTAGTGAAGACCATTATATTGGTCTTTGATGGATTAACCATCAATCCCTTGGCCTCACACCATTTTTGAACGATCTTTAAGGCATCTTTCATGCGGTCCCTTAGGGTATCTAAGAAGGATCCTGTGATCACTATAGCTACGTCATCCGCATAGCCACAGGTCAGGAACCCCTTCTTTTGTAGTTTCACCAAAAGGTCATTGACTACTAGGCACCACAACAGAGGGGACAGAACCCCACCCTGCGGGCACCCCTTGCTTGGTTTACCAGTGATACTAATATTACTTTGCGTGACTGTCAGGTTCCTCCCCGCCAGCATATCCTCCACCCAGTCTACTAGCGGTTCCGGGACCCCATGTGCAATCATTGCTTCCTTAATGGCCTTGTTCGAGGTGCTATCAAACGCCCCTACGATGTCTAAGAAGGTTCCAATAGCGTATCCTTTCGCCTCCAGCTGCGTCTCTATCTTGCCTATCAGGTGATGTAGGGCAGTTTCCGTAGATCTGCCCTCCCTGTAGGCATACTGAGCACTGGCTAGAGGGTGGTCCGCTAATGGTCCATCCTTGAGAAACCTATCAATTAGCCTCTCCAAGGTCTTTAATAGAAAAGAGGTCAAACTGATGGGTCTATAATCCTTGGCTTTAATGTGTCCATTTCTGCCAGGCTTAGGTATGAAGACCACTCTAGTGGCTCTCCATGCTTGCGGGACATGTCTCAAAGCTATGCTTGCCCTAAAGATTTTAGTCAATGGGCCTATCAGCTCTTCGAGTCCCTCCTGTAAGAGCAAAGGGAGTACGCCGTCCGGTCCCGGGGCCTTATAGGGCTCAAAGGAGC